ACAGTATTGTAAATGGCACAGGGCCCCCAAATTGTTTGAGACGGCCCTGTTAACAAGTTATCTCTTTACTTTGTATAAGTAAATTTTAAAAAATGGGGTCCTCTTATAATTGTTTCACTTAGGGGTCCTGTGTGATCGACCACCCTACACATACTCAGAACCACCCCTGCCATTAGAAATGGGTCGTCGTAGGACCAAGATAAAGACAAGGTCAAACAAACATACAATACACACAATTAGCAATGCTGAGTACATAAGCGTAAACGATTCACACTAACATGCATACATCCTAGCATGACACAACTTACCTTATTACACCTGTTTACAAGCATACAATACACGTTTCATTTAATAAACATTTCCATTGCTTATTATTCAATTTGATTACGCATCGAATGAGTTTCCCCCTAACCTGCCCCAATAGAGGGGTACTAACACGGGAGCTAACCGTGCCAGTATAAAAGAACCACTCGTAAGTGGCAGAATTCCTACGCATAATAAATAAAAGGAAAATACAGCATCTTGTACTCCTAGTAGAAGCTATGGTTAAATATAAAACCCCACAACTTCCCTCATATGTTCATACTCGAGGTATATACGTTCCAAGAGTTTTGGTGCGTAATCTCTTTCACTTTACGTTGTTTACATATTTTAGACTTGGTGATAATTCTCAATCCACAGCACAATCAATTATCATAAAACATTTAAGAAATCAAACATACCAATTTAATTCTTGAATAATTAGCGACAACATTTAATTTAATGTTGAACCCTTTTTTAAACTATCTCGGCGTTAAATAACATCTTAAGCGCATAATGCACCAAAAATCCTATCCCTCGGTGTTTAGAACACCTTAAGTGCACTTAGGCACCAAAATATAATATAGTCCTCGTGTACATAGACACTTCAATAGCTCATTTTTCATGCTTATAATATCAATAAAAATTATATGAATCATAATAAAATTCCCTTTTCATAATCCAAACCAAATTAAACATTTAGTTTAATCGAACATGCTCTTGATCATGCCAATATTAAAAGTGTGGTCCATATTCAACATGTCATCATAATTAATTCCAATCAATAATTCACCTCAAATAATTAATGCTTCGCAAATCAATCACTAAAATCAATCCAACCAATAATTCAACCAATACTTATCATGATACTAACTTGGAATTAATTAAACAAGTCCTAGCATGCTTCTACACACTTAAATAATAATTACCGAGTACGCGAACGTACGTCGAATATGATCTCCAAATCACCACGACTACACAAAATCACTCACTTGGAAGTCTCCTACAACCCAAAATTACAAAGAGCATTATCACCCATTCATAATAAATTTCCAGCAATATATACACTCTTTTAAACACTTTTAAATCTTCTAAAACATGATGAAAATTAATTAAAACCATCTACTTTTATTCTCAATTAGTGGGTAATTAAAATCCTTTCAAGAACACTTAATTCTAGCCTCTACATAAAAATTCCAGCATTATAAAAACTCTTAAACTTGCTATAATTTAGTTTAAAAACATTAATTTAAATAGTTTCAATCAACCACAATTAAATTACATCAATAAACATCAATTTAGAAACCTAGGGTTTATCAATTTGGGGCTTTTTAATTCAAAAACTAAATCTAAAAATTATATACATATTAATCATCATTAAAACATCATAAAATCATCACACACACCCAAAAAAATAATTAATCAAAGCTAGATTGATTTAAAACAAAAGAAGAGTTTTTTTTTTTAAACCACAAATCGCGAGAGGGGAGGGTGATCGGTGCGCCACCTCCCGCGGCTGCTGCTACTCCGTGCTGGCGGTGGCCGGCTATGGTGGTGGTGGTAGCCGACCACCGAGTGGCGTGAGTGTGTGCCGTGAGGTGTGTGTGTGAGGGGAGGAAGAGGGGAAAATTAAGGGAAAGAAAAATAAGAGGAAAGAGAAAGATAGTTTACCTTTGGGTATTCTCCACCTTGGGCAAATTAAGTTTAATTTGATCATAAGGTAGATATTTATACTCTCTCTCAAAACCCTCCTAACTAAATTTCTCTTTTTACTCTTAATGATTCCCATTCCCCTTTAACTTGTTGTTTTGATTTTAATTAAATCTATTTGACTTTAAAACTCCTTCATAAATTCAAAGTGCCCCAAAGCTTCTAAATTGATGAAATAATTTATTTTTTTTTGAAAGTTGAAATAAAATATTTCGAAAACCAAATAAATAAATAGAAATGAGTTTTTAATTAAAAATAAACCTTTTAATTAAATTATTAAAATTCCATAAATAATTCATTTCAAATTGTTTAAATACGCCATAAAATAATACTTTAAAAATTGTTTAAATACGCCATAAAATAATACTTTAAATAATTCATTTCAAATTGTTTAAATACGGGGTATTACACCCACTGCCACCGGGCCCACCACGACCCACACCCGAATCCACGATCCATCGGAGTCGGATAATCCGTCAAAGTCAGTCATTTGTCGGAGTCGAATTTTTTTCTCGAATTATTTTTTGGATCCGACTCCAAACCTCCTCCAACTCGATTTTGGATTATTTTAACGGAATCAGACTCAGATTACTTTTTTCTTGGACTCGGAGTGATTTTGGACTCAGATTACTTTTTTCTTGGACTCGGAGTAAAAAAAAAATTCTCAGATCAGGGCGAAGTAGGGTCGGATCCGGACTGGATTGCCATCCCTACTTGGCATAGCCGAGGTTACTCGGTCAATTAGGGGTTATCCGGTTAGTTTTAGTGTGTGTCAATTGCGTGACTGACCATCCCATAAAAGAGTTGATTTTACTAAACTAAAATTAATTTTACGGAAGTGAAATTATTTTTAGTGATTATATGTTATATTTCTTATTTAATTATTATTATTTTTATTTTTTTTGAAAAGGCAAGAAAAATAATAATAGAGAAGTGTCTTGCGAGGGGATTTCCTAATGTATCATGGAAAAAAATTATATGGAGTGTCAAAGTGTAATAAATAAGCTAGAGTAATTACAAACATTAGTGTCCATACTATCACAAACTATGTGTTTTACATTAGCGATCCAATTTGTTGCACGACTTGTCTCTTGAGTCTTGATGGATGTGTTGGATACTTCAATTGTGAAATTGGGTGAGCGGCAAACGAGTGTCTTTAATAATATACTCGATCTACCAAGGGACTTAAAATACTCCTCATAATTGCTTTAAAAAGAACTTAATATACAACTCAAACCAACAAGATGCATCTTTCTTTTAGAGAACTCATATGCTAAGATACTTCTTTGTTAATCGTGCTTGGCTGGGACTCTGTGAGTAATAATCTTATAATGGGTGACCTCCTAGGAAGCTTTTCCAGTTACGCATTACATGACAATAGACCCCACCCCGATTTGGGGTCAGGGTGTTACAGGACTACTCAAATGCCTTTTATTGGGTTGATGAATAATAGGTATCAACTTCAATTATTTATTTGAATGTTTTGAATCACAATGAAAAACTAGATGGACTCCTGTAAAAGGAGTTGTAGATTTTACATGAATACTTTGGTGTTGTCGAGGTTGAATGTAAATGTCTTGATGAGGGCATCTTTAATGATGACTCTTGAAACAGCTAAGTTGTCGTGAACCAAACCGTTGAATTTGACGTTGAAGAAATTGTTAGGAGACTGTTGACCTTATGATTTTGATGATGACACAACCCAACTTATTTGCAAACTAATAAGAGCTTGATTGTTTAAGTGTGTGATCAGATACAATGACTAGGATAATTGAATGTCTTGTGAAAGATTCCATGAGGAACAAGATAGCCAGGGGCAAAGTAATCCAAAAGAGAAGAGTTCCCTCACAGGAACTGGTGCTTCAGAAATGAAGACTTGAGAAGAGAAGTTCCCCTCATGGAACAGAAGCTTCGGAGTAGAAGTTTCACCAGAGAAGAGAAGTTCCTTACAAGGAATAGAAGCCTCGGAGTAGAAGCTTCATCAAAGGAACAGGAAGAATAAAATATTATTATGTTTTAGGATTTATGTAAGTATAAGGAACAGATTACGCTTTAAATTAAAGTAGCTGTGTGGAATTGGTCTAAAGGATAGAATTGTGCAATGCTTATTTTTAGGAAAACAGTTTGCTTTTAATTCTTATCTTTTTAATTTATAAAAAGGATTTAATTTTTCTCTAATTTTCGAAATATCATTTAAATAAATAAACTCTAATTTCTGTTTTCCAAAACTTGCGGACTAGTCATGATTGTTTCAATATCGGTCTTGCACATTAAGGAGTTCGTGTCCTTAATTTTAGGGCATGTTCTACTTAGTGGGGATTGAGTAGTGGCGACATGGTTAAGCAACACAAAGGAGTTTTCTCAAAGCAATTTTGGTCTATAAATAGTCAGTTGATTTCAGTTGGAAAAATACACCCTTGCTCAAATAGATTTCATCTTTTGCTTTCTTTAATTGAGTCAAGAGTCCAATTCCACATTAGTGAAATAGAGTGTTCTTATATTCTTATACTAGAGTATATTTTTCGAGTTGTATTTTGGGGAATTGGGAAGTGTGTGTGAACTTATGTTTAGCTTTGAGTGGAGCTAGGAGAAAGAGAAGAGAAAGAGAAAAGACAAAGAGAAGAGAAGAGTAGCAGGTTGAGGAACTTGCTGCTTGGGGCTTTGAGTTCGTTGAGTAACTTGAAGTTAGAGTCTTTAGTTTGTAATAGGTATTTGCCCTATTCTAGTGAAGATTCTTTCCTTAAAATCCCTTGTGATCGTGGTTTTTCTTCTTGTTTAGGGCCAAGGAGTTTTCCACGTAATATCTCTCTTGCACTTTCAGTTCCTTAAGCTTACTAGTTTTTAATTCCGCGAAAAGATTAACAAATCTGTCATACTACAATTCAACCCCCCCTTCTTATAGTATTCATTGAAACAACAGAGACGTATTACATGATATAAGATTGGACGATGGAGAATGATTAAGAGGTGAACGGTTAGGGGATCTTGGAATGGGAGATCCCCGTGGAAGAAAAGGTATCTATGAGACTTCAATTCTTTGGTTCCATTCATTATGCATATTGCGCTCTATGAGAAGTCCTAAAAATGTTAAAGGTTTCATTGCATTAGATAATAACATTTCGCCCTTTCCAGGTATTCCAAATGAGGAGAATAAATTTCCTTAAAGTTTTTGGTGTTTTCTTATGTACAATAATGTTTCGGCTAAATTTTAAAACAAGGTTGTACAATCCAACAAGTTTTTAGTTGAAAGGAGGTTACATGCTTCTCTAATTTTGGTGTATTGTACTTGAGAAAAAGATGATCAATTGTTTCATTTTTATGTTGCACACATAAGGTGGCAAATATTTAATAGGAGAGTGTTTCTTTTGTAAACATTAACTAATAAAAAAATTAAAATTTGTACATTGCACACCAATCCAACAATATTTTACATATATATTTTTTTTTAATTTTATACTTGTATATTGGTAAAAAGTATAGTCAAAGTTAGAAAACAAATAATGAAAAAGTCAAATTGTTGCATTTATTGTGAAGCAGAAGTAGGAAGCACTAGTACATTATTGACTTTATGTAACATGTAATCGGTAACACTACTTGAAATGCAAAATATTAGATTAATAAGTAACACTTTGGTAACACTTTATTACAATGTAACACTCAATGTAACACTTTTAACATAGGTAACACTCCATAGTAACACTTTTAAAAAAAGTAACATTTTTTGGTAACACTAAGAGGTGTTACGTTATTTTAAGGTGATTAAACATTTATAATAAAGTAAAAGTTAGTGTTAAAAATTAATTATTGGTTCTCAGATTACCGCCAAAGCAATTAAAAAAAATAATTTGGGCTTCAATTTGCTTTAACCGCCAGAATTAAGGAAAAATTTTATAGAAAAAACAATCTCTCAATTCTAGGTTTAATTTCCTCATTCATCAGAACGACATTCAGTTCTTCTGTTATCACCAAAAACCCAATCAAAATTAGTCGATTCTGGTGAAGACGAGGAGCCAGTGATAGTGGTGACCTACAGGGGTGAAGAGAAGCAATTCAAGTTCAATTCGCGTGAATTTCATCTCAAAACCAGTCGTCGACTCGATCGTCATCTGGGATTCCATCAATTCGCGCCTACAATCAGGTATTAGTTATTTTTTTGGTGGATTTTTAATGTTTTTGGTTATGGGTTATGTAATCATTAAATTTAATGTGAATTATCATCACAGTCTAGTTTATAGGGTTTGTTTTGATTGGATTCTATATTATTTCATTTGAAATTTGGACCTGTTGTTATTCATAGTTTCATGCAATTTTTTTTTGTATATTAATGGATTTTCTTATTGAAATGATGTTGTATACTTCGTATTATTGATCTTGGGTTTTACTGATTAGAACTCTTATTAAGTTGATGGAGCATTCAATTTTAATTGCCAGTGAAATAATATCATATATTAGGTATATCGAGCCAATTAATGGACAGAATAGTCCATCCAAACTGAAGGAGGTCATAATCTCTAGCTATAATGATAAGTTTCTCTGCATTAACAGAACTAAACTAAACCGAAGGTTATCAACTTTGCTGCAGGCTATTATCAGAATATTTGTGATCAAACGAGTCAAGTACAATTGCATGTGATCAAGTATTTCAAGATGTAGTAAGTTTATTACAAATAGATGCAAGTGTTTATGACCATTATCAGACTACAAGTACATTGTAACAGTGAAAAGTTCAACTCAAGCAAAGACTTTCATTTGAACTGAATTTGTCTAAATAAGTCATAATAAGTTAAACCAAATGGAATGAACATAATATGTTTTTTTTTTTATTTTATTTATTTATTTATTTATTTATTTATTTATTTTTATACTTGTTTCATTTCTATTATTATTATACAAAGTTGAATATATGGGTGTTTGTTTCTATGGATATTGTCATTCCTTTTAGACATGTAAAATTACATGCCAATATTTTAAATCTTTAAATTTACTTATTAAATTTTGATAAAGGAGACAAAATGAGTAGTTGGACCAACTTCTTACAATCTAGTCATGAGTACGAGAAAGGTGTAGAGGATTATTTAGATAAAGCGTTTTCTACACAAGCAATTGGAGATCAAATTTTTGCCCGTGTAAGGTGTGCTATCACCGCTTTTGGCATCGTAGAGAGACAGTTTTCAATCATTTGATTGCAAACGGGATCAAGCCTGGCACTGAAGGATGGCATTGTTATGAAAAGGGCTTGTCATCAACATCAAATACCGAGAGGGATGTTGAAGACATGCATGATGATATTGAACGTCTTATATATGATGTTCATAGAGATGTGGCAGAAAGGTATGAAGGGGTTGGAGATGAGCCCAATGATGAGGCTAAGAAGTTTTATAAGTTAGTTGAAGATGGAAAACAAGAGCTATATCCCGGGTGCAAAAAAAATTCAAAGCTATCATTTCTTATTCGCTTTTACCTTTTGAAGTGTACTCATGGCTTAACTAATATAGAAATTTCAGATTTTTTGGAGCTTTTTCGAGAAGTGTTACCAGATGCGTCCAATTTGCCTAACTCTTTTAATGAGGCAAGGAGATTGATAAAAGATCTAGGTCTTCATTATGACAAGATTGATGCATGTCGTAATGATTATATGCTATATTGGAAGGAGCACGAAGCTGCCACGTCTTGCCATGTTTGTCATGCTCCAAGGTGGAAAGAAACACAGACCGAAAACCAAGAAGATATTAGCAATCAACCATCTAAGAAAGTGCATCAAGTCCCCGCAAAAGTTCTTTGGCATTTTCCTCTTAAACCAAGGCTTCAAAGGTTGTACATGTGTTCAGAAACAGCAGAGCTAATGAGGTGGCATGATGAAGAAAGAAAGAAAGATGAGTTATTGAGGCATCCTGCTGACGGTGAGGCGTGGAAAGAGTTTGACCAAAAGTATCCAGAGTTTGCTAATGAAACACGTAATGTTCATTTAGGGCTTGCAAGTGACGGATTCAATCCATTTCGAACTATGAGCACACAACATAGTACATGGCCTGTTGTTCTAATTAATTACAACTTACCACCATGGCTGTGTATGAAGCCAGAATTCTTAATGTTATCTCTCCTTATTCCCGGGCCCACCTCTCCTGGAAATGACATTGATGTCTTCCTTCAACCATTGATTCAAGAACTTAAAGATCTGTGGGAGTATGGGTTGGACACCTATGATGCGGAGAAGCGTCAAACATTTAAGATGCATGCAGCTTTACAATCAACGACCAGCGACTTTCCAGGTTATGCTATGTTATCTGGTTGGATCACCAAAGGGAAGTATGCATGCCCTTATTGTCACTACGAGACTGATCATCATCACTTGAGTAATAGTAACAAATCCTGTTACTGGGCTCATCGTCGATGGTTAGATGAAAATCATCCTTGGCGGCATGATATGAAGTCTTTTAATGGGGAAAAGGAAGAGAGGACATCTCCAGATCCTTTAACAGGGGATCAAATTTCAAGCTTGTTGGAAAACTGGGAAAACAAGTTTGAAAAATTACAACCAAAGAAGAAATATGTAGATTGTCCATGGAGAAAGTCCTCCGTCTTCTACACTTTGCCTTATTGGAAAGATTGTGGTTGTCGTCATCATTTGGATGTCATGCACATCGAAAAGAACGTTTGTGATAATGTGCTCGGAACTTTGTTAGACATACCTAGAAAGTCAAAAGATCATCATAAGGCTCGATTAGATTTGCAAGAATTGGGTATAAGGCAAGAACTACATCCTGTAGATGCAGGTGACAAGCAATATGTTTTGTTGCCCAAAGCATCATTCTCAATGACGAAAGAAGAGAAAAGCATATTTTGTAGTGTTTTGAAGAAGGCAAAGCTGCCCCAAGGTTGTGCATAAAATATTGCAAGGTGTGTGCAAGTCAATGAGGGGAAAATATCAGGGTATAAGAGTCATGATGCTCATATAATAATGCAACAATTGCTTCCGTCAGCAACTAGGAAAACTTTACCAAAGCATGTTGCTTTACCTCTTATGAGATTGAGTGGCTTTTTTAGAGAAATATGCAAGAGAGTCATCAATCCGAAAGATTTGGATCGCCTTCAAGCAGGAATTGTTGAGACTCTTTATGGACTAGAAAGAATATTTCCACCATTTTTTTTGACATAATGATCCACTTACCGATTCATTTGGTTGATGAAATCAAGCGTGGTGGACCAGTGTGTGATTGGTGGATGTACCCTATAGAAAGGTACCTCGGAAAGTTAAAATCATAAGTGAAAAATTGATGTCGCCCTGAGGCTTCTATAGCAGAAGGTTATTTGGCTGAAGAGTGCTTGGTATTTTGCTCTAGGTATTTGAATGCTAGTGTAAAGAAGCGATCTAAGTGGTTTAACAAAAGTCAAGAGAAAACTGATGAAATTGATGAAGAATCACCTTTATTCCCTAAGGCAGGTTATCCTATTGGGAGGAAAAAGAAAGGGAAGAAGAAAGGGAGGGCATACACTCTTGATTCAGACACAATGGCTCTAGCACATCGTAATGTGTTGTTTAATTGTCAAGATGACCAAGTTGAGAATTACATCAAGTGAGTAACTTTTTTAATATCTTGTCTATTGTGGTTAAATTTATATTGTTTTATTATCTTACTTATATGGTTAATACTATAAAGGGAACATGAAGAGTTTGTGAAGAAGAAGTCCAGAGACAAACGAAAAAGAAGGTGGAAAGAGGCGCAAGAGCATAGCAATGAATTCATGGTTTTGTTTAGAGAAAAGGTTGTGGTGGATAATGTCCCAGATCATATTAAGTGGCTATCAAAAGGTCCTTTTAATATTGCAAGGAGGTACACTGGATATTCTTGTAATGGATATAAGTTCTACACTAGAGTTCATGATGAAAGGTGTAAAACTCAAAATAGTGGAGTCTCTTTAACTGCTTTGACTCCAAGCTTTGCGAGTAGCCAGGATCACAATCTCGTTCTTGGTAATGTCACATATTATGGGGCTATAAAATTGATAATTGAGGTCAATTATTGGAGTGAATTTAGTGTTGTGTTGTTCGAGTGTGATTGGTTCCATGTGGAAGTAGATGATTATGGACTTACTCGCGTTAACTTTAAGAAATTGTGTTCTAAAGATGACCCTTTTGTCTTGGCATCACAAGTGCATCAAGTGTTCTACACTCAAGATGGCCTTGAAGAAGATTGGCATTATGTGCACGGAAATTTGCCAAGAGATTTTTTTTATGCCGAGGGGCAATCTGAACACACATATATGAATGAAGTTCGTGAACCCGCGGAGGCTGTAATTCTGTCTATAGATCATGATGAACACCAAAGTTGCTGCAGAGAAGATGCTTATGACAGAGTTGAGGTGCCTGTCAACAGTGAAATGAGAAATCATAATCACGAAGATAGTTCCGATATAGATGACACAGATTGGGATTGGATGGAACCATCAAAGTGAGATGTTTAGACCGTTTTTGTAGAATAATTATCCTTCATTTGAACTTATTATTTGGATTTGACAAACTATTATTGAAGTGTTCTATTTTTCTATTTGAACTTGTTTTCTAATCAAATAAATAAATTAGTGGTTAGATTTAGTGTTGTGCTACAGAATTTACTCTAACCTTTATTTTAATTGTTAAATTTATTTGAGGTCTGATATTATAGTGACAGTGTTTACATTTGGCAGTTTTGAGTTGTGTGGTATCTTTGTGCTCAGGCAGTAGGCGAGTTGTGTCGGCTTCACTGAGGTAGTTTCTACTATTGACATAATTTCAATGAACTTTTGTCTTTGCATTGCATGAATATAGCTGATCAGACTTTAGCTCTAGCAAGATTAATTTGCCTCAGACTTTTTGCAATATTTATAAAGCTGCGTGTGAGGTAAATTAATCTTGCTAACAGTCTGAGTCTGAGTATTAGCAAGATTAATATCTACCTCAGACTATTAGCTGGTCAGAGTTGAGTATAAGCTGATCCTGTGCTCAGGTGATATGCATACTCTTTTTGTGCTCTTTCTGTGCTCAGGTGCTTTTATTAATCGTTATATGGACTGCCTGATGCAAGTGTGCTATATGTATTACCTTTTGACTCAGTCTGGCTTGGGTCAGTCAGGTGAATATGAAGTTAGAGCTGAAAGTCCTGTGCTCCAAACCCAAACCTATATCTTTGAAGGCAACTTCATGTGCAACAACTGTTATACTAAGCCCCAAACTGTGATTGAGCTATAACTGTATTTGAAATGGGTAATCTGCATATTAATTTCAATTCTAAAATTTGGGGATATGCATTCCATGATAGGTATGAATGTTGATTTTAATTCAGGAATAGCCAAGTGGGGGTATCATGATTTGATTTCTTATCCTATGTTTATTTGATTGGTATGAATGTTGATTTTAATTCAGGAATAACCAATTCACTTAAGTTTTTTGAGGATTGATTCTTGTTTATTTGAGCTCCAATATCAGTTCCCTTGGCTGATAATCCTTCGCGTATGGCTGAATAGACTGGCAGTAGAGGATGTGAGGAAGCAATTGTTTCTCTACTGTATTGCATTTCCCTTCCCCTTTCTTTTCATGTCAATGTTTCTCTGTTGCGGGTATGCTGTTAGTGAAAGGTTACTTGCATGTTTTCATTATAGTGATGTTCAGAAATTAAATGTCTGAGATTCCCAAGTCCTCAACATTTCATGACAATTCACTTATTGCTACTCATCGGGCTCACAAACCAGGCTACCAGCCCCACCTCAGACAGTTATAATTTTTTTTTTTTTTTTTGGTAAGTAAGAAATTTTATTACCAAATAGAGAAACAACTTACAAAACAGTTGTACAACTCCCAAATCCACACAACTACAACACCAGAGGGCAAGCCCTCTCACCAAACTATACAACCCCCTCAATGTATAAGAGCACTAAGGCTAAAAAACCATTTACAATGCTTCCTAGTCCATTTACAAGTGATGAGCTGTCTACATCTATCAACTGTTTCTATACAAATCCCTTTACATAAAATTCTTGGATGAAAAACAGCTTTCTGCCAAAAAGTATGGTTCCTAGAAAACCATAGGTGGTACACAACAGAGGTCAAAGCAGCCAGTCCAACTTTCCTGCAAATGGGGTCTTTCAACTGCCTGCTCCACTGCTTCCAAACCTCGTCTATGCTGTAATACGTATTCCTGATCCCCAGCCAATCTGCAATCTTATCAATACACCTCCTACTATAAGGACAGTCAAAGAACAAACAGCTTCTATTCTCAGTAGCACTTCCACACAGCAAGCACCTGTTGTCAACACAAATGCCAAACCTCTCAAGTTTATCTCTTGTTTTGAGTCTATTATGGACTGCAAGCCAAGAGATGAAAGCATGCATGGGAGAATTGAACTTATTCCAGATCCAGGTATTCCAATCAACTCTTGGGCTAGAACCTTGCAACCAGTCATAAACTTCAGAAATGCTATAGGGATTCTGTAACCAATCCTTCTCCACAAAACCAGAATGCATCTCATCCTTAATCTTGCAGAGCTTTTTCCAAGCCCAACCTGCAGTAGCTTTAGGCTTATAAGTCCACCAATTCTGGTCCTTCAAATAGACCGAGTGAACCCACCTAACCCACAAGGAATCTTCCTTTTTTGCAATCTTCCAGACATACTTCCCCAGAGCTGCCTTGTTCCAAAGACTACAATTTCTGATACTAAGACCACCCACCTCTTTGGATTTACAAACCCAGTCCCAAGAAATAGAAGGGCTTCTAGACAGCCAGTTATAATTAGTTGCTCTAGAGCCTGGTTTTACTCTTCATTGCAAAGTTCTTATACTTAGATTGCATCCATGATCTCAGACAAAATGAATATACATCCAAGTTGAACCGAATTACTCCAAACAACTTGAGTATAATGTCCACACATCTTGTTAGGAGCACAATTATTGGAGTAGTAGTCATAATTAACCTTCTCATTCACCCATAGTTGTACTGCAGCCGTAACAGTCAAGGATGCACTACTACCTGCGGCAATATTTTCTCCATAAGGTCCACCCGAGTGTTAGATATTAACAAAAATAAAATACGAATCCAATTGAACTCAGATGGAGATGGTGTTTGGAACTCCCCTACCAGTGACCCCAACATCGGATTTAGGCCTCAACAAATCATAAGGTACAACACCAGCTCCATATAGATGCTTTAGATTTTTATCTTCATTCCTGTCTGTAATATCATGTTCGAGTGTATCTAAACCAGCTTGAAATTCTCTATAAGCTATTTTTATCACTTCTTCTGCCTCCCAAGATGGCTCTTTATTTTGGCCTATATATTCCTCTTCGCTTGAGTGTCTTGAAAGTACATCCAAAAGTGCCATAACTTTAGCTGCCTGTTGCATTAATGGGAAGCATTCGAGGAGCGTAGTCTCAGGACTTGCAATAAACTTGTTCCAATTGTCTGGATCTGTATTAATATATTCTGAAGGCATCTTTGTCCTAGTAATAGTAGGCCTGTTTGGGAAGTAACCTGCGTAGGCATATTGCCCAAAGTTGACAGCTGCATGGTGCCCCGAAGCAACCCATATTATGGTTGACACAAAGTTGACCAGCTGCATAGATACGTATGTAGCTCGTATTATTAGTTAAGATAAGCAACAATTATACAAGGTTAAGCTAGCTCCAAATAATTCAATAATGCTAAATCAAGAGTTTAAATTACCTATGTAGCAGGTCATCTGGTAATATATTCTGAAGGCATCTTTGTCCTATTAATATATTTTGGGGTTTCTTAAAAATCAACTGAATGATTGGCAGCACTCATTTAGAAAACCATACTCTGCTATTCCTGGATGGGAATTTTATTAGGAAGGGAACGATTAATTGGTTAGATATTTAGACAATTTGTTAGATATTCATACTATCCGTATTGCTTGATTGCTTGCTACATTGCATCTCTATAACTGTGCTATTGTACTTGAATGACTGATTAGGTCATTTGAACATGATTTAGTGTGATGTATGGTGCCTCTTGATAAAATATATGGACTAGAATTTGCATCCACAAAAAATTTACAGAATTAGTATTTGAGCAATCCATACTAGATTCTATATGTATTTGATGAGGCCTGCTGAAACCGTCTTTGAGTGTAATTCTACTCTGAAAATCAGGACAGAGTTTTGTTCTAAAATGAAAATTTCTAAAAGAAAATGAATTTTGTAAGAGATGAATTTGGACAATACAACGAATATAGGTAAGAAGTTAAGCAATTGTAATACATTGTGTTCTGCAACAAAATTTGATAAAGTTGAACTTCAGTGTAATTCCGCTTATATTTGTTTAAAACTGCTCACATTGAATGATTTGAATCAGATTCAGGAAACATATGAATACTAAAGAGCTTAATCTGTTGTTTTTATTTCATCGCATCATTAAATTACTCCATACATACTCAGTTGCACTTTGCAAACTCTATTTGAAGTTAGAACACATGGCCTAGCTGCCTCGCCCTTGCAGTTTAAACTCTCCCCCATTGCCCCGATGGCTGGAAATCTGGAATCAGTTTTAACACACTTTGTATAAAGCAAGTTGGTCACACAAAGTATAAACCACACTAATTTTCATTATGCCTATTAGTTGCTGAAGGTCTTTATATATGAATCCAATAGCATTTTAATGAATCGACTCAAGTAAATAGTTTTGCTCCGCAACACTCACTTTCAGATACTGAAAATTTTTCTTATACATGGGAATATAACTTAAGGGAATCTTCTTTGCGTGGCTGTGTATATTTCTTGTAATGTCTTTATACACTCACTTTGTGTGGCTGTGTATATTGCTTGTAATGTGTTTTAACACAAAGCTTATGAGCTATTTCTTTGCTTTACTTGTGAATATCATGATCCTGTGCATTCATGTTTTGTTCTGGCCACTCTCTGACTGTCTTGTGTGTTCTTTGTAGGAAGCAAGATCTAGATGGCAGAATATGAGAAACTTAGACAAAAAACTATAGAACAAAATAGAATCAGGATGAAGAATTTAGGGGTTACATCCATGGCTTATGAAATGAAACAGTTGCTGAAGGGATCGAAACAAACGAAAAAAAGGAAGAAGGTGACTAAAAGTATACACCTGATGAAGAGGGTGAACTGAACCAATCAAGTGAAGAGGATGAAAATGAGATAAGGAAAACCGGTGTAAACTTGAGGTCTCGTTCAAAGAAGGTGGTTCTTTTTTTTTTTTGTTCTTTTTTTGTGACAACTTAATTTTGTGAATCACAATTGTTAGAAAATCATGTAATATTTGTTTAATGATGTTCATGAATACTTAATTTCAGGTTGTGGCATTGAGAGGGAAGATAACCACAAACATTAAGGACACGACAGATGTCTCTTCAGTACCAATGGCTAATCTAACTAAGGACACGGCAGGTGTCTCTTCAGTACCAACGCAAAGAAAAATCCAATTGGGCAAGTCTACTGCACAGAAAAAATCAGAAGTCCATAATCAGCAAGAGAAAGAGGTTGAGATTGGGAATAGTGTCCAAACTAAGACGGGTCAGAGTAAGACAGTGGTTGCTCCTAGTTCACTCAGTGCTTATAGGCAAATGCAAACACAGTTGCTAGAAAAAAAGAGGAGAGCAAAACAAAGTGATTTATTACTACGACGAAAACTACGACCTATTAACATGGCTAGTTCACTAGTGCATTTAGGGAGTTCACAAGCACAAAGTTTTTCACAACCACAAAGATTTAGACATGACTTACAGGAATATTACGAGAATCATATGGGTGCAAATGAACGTAATTTGGAACAATATGTAGATGAAGAAGATGAGTTCAGTGATGATTTGAGTACTCTTACCCCCGAGGAGCTAGGAATGCAAGATGAACCACTAATGAATCAAGAGCACGAAAGTGAAAAAATAGGTAATGATCACTATCATTCCAATTTAAATATTTTAAGATAGATATGTTAAGAGCCATATATGATTTCAATGACTTTGTTGAGTTAATGTTCATGTAGCACTTCCAAAAAGGAAGCGAACCAGAGGACCAACTATGTGTAAAGATGTCCATGAATGGACATTAGAGGAGCGTAAGCCTATTGTTCTTAATGAAATGGGAAAGCCTATTGGTCCTGATGATAAGACTGTAAATACATTTACAAGATTCTTAGGGACTTTAGCTCGTAATTCTTCTCTAGCGCCGTTGAACAAGATTAATTGGCATTATGTTCCAGACAAGGAACAAATTTGGAGTTACGTGAAGGTATGCACCTTTTATTTACGTATTCAAAAGCTGGCAACATTTAGGATATGAGCAGGAAGTGTTTTTTTAATGGTTTGATTTGATTAGTTTATGTGCTATTATGTCAAGTGGCTGACGTAATTGATTGCTCCCTAATTTTCTTGTTTAATATTTTACTTAATACAGAAGAAATACATTATCGCGGATGAAGGTAAAAACTGTGTTTTGTCATCCGTGGGAAGGCTTTGGCGTAGATATAAATGTAGTGTAAAGGCAGCGCACTTTACTCCGTACGACAATGATGGTGATAGGTTGGCAAATCCTCCTAATACAATTCCGGAAGCGCATTTCAAAGAGTTGCTAGAATTTTGGAATTTGGAACAAGTCCAGGTAAAGTTATGTTGTTTGTTTCCATTATATTACAATTGCTTATTTTCCTCTCAAAATGAAATGTGTTAGGCTATGAATCGTGTGTTATGCATGCATGCAGGAAGACAACAAAAAGAAAAGGGAAATAAGTATAGATCAAAACGATAGGCACACTATGGGTCCTATGACTTATGCGAGGAAACAACATAAATTGGTATGTTTTTATACCGTTCTTCCTTCTTTTTCGTTCTCACTACGATCATGTAAACAATCTTATTTCAATTCTTATTTGGATGTGTTTTTTATTCAAGCAACAACTAGATGTTGAAAACAAGCCACCATCCTTAGCACTCATGTACAAAGAAAGTCGTAAAAGGAAAGCAGACAAAAAATACAAAACATCTTATGAGCCCACCCAAAGTAACATTGTAAGTCCTACTGTCTCCATATTTTTGAGAATATGATTATTTGTCTCAAATTAGTTGTTTATTTGTTATATTTCCATTATAGGACAAGATGGATGAGGTACAAATTCAAAGTGAAATTGATGGAGATGTTGCATACTATGAAGTAATGAATAAACCAAATAACTTTGGCCATAGAAAAAAGCAACCGGGAATATGTTCACTAAGGGGAAAGAGCAACAAACTAATAATTCCCAATGAGTTCTTAAAGCCCTATAAAGACCAAATTGTGAAAGAAATTGTAGCAGAATTAATGAAGACGCTCAAGCAAATTAATCCTGAAGTGTTGGAAACTTTGACTCGATCACTTGAAAATGTGTCATCCAATCCAGAACTTACAGATCATATTCCCATTGTACACTCTAATGAACAACAACGAAATGAGGTAATGGTTAATATATTATCTTTTAAAAAGCACTAACTCTTATTATTGCATTATTCCATTTTTGTTCTAGTTGTTTGATATTTGATGCTTTTACACATAGGATCAATTGGATCAAGATGAAGAATAGGATAACAATTGATGATGCTACAAGAACTTTCTTTTACCGCTGTTTTGTTGCTGCTACCGCTGTTTTGCTGCTATTTTTTGCTGTTACTGCTGTTTTTCCACTGCTACTGTTGTCTGTTGTTGCCACTACTCTCTGCCACAGTTGTCTGCTACTGTTGGAAGCTGCCACTCATGTGTGCTACTGCTGGTTGCTGCTAAAGACTGCTGCTAGCAGCTTATGTTACTACTTCTGCCATTCTGCACATCGAACTTAATTTTCTTTGTGTTTGGATTATTATATTGTTTGGCTAAACATTAAAATGGGTGTTTATGGATTTTTTTTAATAAGAATTATGAAAATATTTAATCCAAATTGTTTTCTATCATATGTGTTGATTTCTTATTCATATAGTTGTTGTACATATAATTTTTTTTTATATTTAAAAAAAATAGTTAATGTTATTATTATTATTATTATAATAATAATAATAATAATAATAATAATAATAATAATAATAATGATGATGATGATAAATGTTACCTATTAATGATTAAAGTGTTACATTAGCTTGCAAAAAGTGATACATAATGTTGAATAAAGTGCTACTATATGTCAAAACATGATTGAAAAATGTTACCTAATAATCAACAAAGTGTTACATTAGTTCGAAAAAGTGATACATAATGTCGGATAAAGTGATACTATATGATTGAAAAATGTTACTAAAGATAAGTAAGTGTTACATAAGAAATAAAAAGTAACACTTTAAAAATGATACTAAAGATATAAAAAAGTGTTACATAAGAGGTTATATAGTAACACTTTTAAAAGTGTTACCATACGCTATCTAAAGTGTTACATAAGACCTTAGGTAACACGGGCAGATGTATCACCCACTAAAGTATTACCTATTGTCTATAATAACATTTTTACCACTTTATGTAACACTTTTTGGGTGTTACTTGAGGTTAGTTATGTACTAGTGATGGGAGAAGTATTCATATTAATTAAGAGTTGGCAAACATTTGGTGAAAAAAAAAAGTAGTCCGTAAAAGATTAAGGCTTTGTCTGGCTTTTTTTTTTTTTTTTTTTTTTCCTTTTTGAGGAAAAAGGCTCTGTTTGGTAATTAGCTGTAACTGATTATAATTATTTTAACTAACTGGTTGTATTAACTTATTTGCATGACTATTTGATTATAAATAGCTGGTGTGCAAAAATGGTTTGTAAATAGTCGTTAATTATTACTTGTTATAGTGTATGTAATAGTTAAAAAGATAAATGCTATAGGATAAAAAGAGTTTTATGAGCCAAAAAAACCGTTCCAATAGATGATTTAGTAGTTTACCGAACACTCAACTTAGTTTTTTCACTTGACCAAACCTTCAAAAAGCCTCAATAAGCTAAAAGTTCTCTATAAAGCTACGATATTGGTCAAACAAGGCTTTAAAAAAAATAGCAACTTAATTAGCTGAATTGTAATTTTTTTTTTTTTTTTTTTGCTAATAATAATTAAAGTTGCGAGAGTGCGAGACCTAATGTCTAGGAAATGTTTTACTTTACTTTTTTTGTCTTTTTTCTTTTTGCTTACTTTGATTGCAACAAATACTTGATTTGGGTTGTCAAATTGAATCATTTTTAATTGGGTAATTGATATATGCAGACTTAGGTCCCGTTCACTTCACCATATTTAATTTTTGCTGAACTGAAATTATTTTTACTAAACTAAAATTATTTTTGCTGAACTGAAATTATTTTTACTAAACTGAAATTAATTTTACTGAACTGAATTATTTTTACTGAATTGCTATTATATTTTCTTTAAGTTTACTGATTTTTACTGAACTGAAATTATTTTTGCTAAACTGAACTTATTTTAACTAAACTGAAATTAATTTTACTGAACTGAAATTATTTTTACTTAATATTATTTTTTTAAGGTGAAGTGAACAGGGCCTTAATGGTTACATATAAGTGTCAAATGAATTTCCTAAAATGGTATAAATATTAAAACTTATAACATGTATATCGGTAAAATTAATGTTGATTTATTATTTATATTTCCCTTTTTAAAATTATTATATATAATATAGATCTCAGAGTATTTTTATCATTTTCTTTTTTAATTATTACAAGCTAAGAGACGCATGCAATTCGTGCATGTGCGTATAAGTAATCTATCAAGCTCGATTCTCTTTTTTTTTTTCAAAATATTATCTCCTTATTCTAATTAAAAAATATTAGTGGATTTAAAAATTGTTGATAAATAACAATAAAATATATGTTAATGATGTCATGAACGCTAAATAATAAAATTTGACTTCCCTAAAAAAAAATATTAAAACTTGTCAAAAAAAATTTAAAAGAAATGTTGGAAGTTTTTTTTTTTTTTTTTTTTTTAACCAAGATGGTAGGGTTTTTTTTTTAAAAAAAAAGAAAGAAAAAAATGAGAAGGGTATTTTGGGAAAGTGAAATTTATCACCCAAAAATCCCTTTCACTTTACATATATATATATATATATATATATATATATATATATATATATGTATAGGAACTAATCTAAGAGAAGAGGCGCGCAATCTAATGGACCAAATTAATTCAGACAAATTGAATGAGGCAGAAAATTCTAGGCGCCATTTTCTCTCTATTCTCTCTTTATCTCTCCTCCGCCATTTTCAACTGCTCAAAATCTTCAAAAAAAACCACCATAACCGCAATTTTCAAGTGTTTAATTACTCTATATAAGCATAATTCAAGTTCTATAATCTACATTTCTTCAGCTTCGAAACAAAAATCGCAAAAATTAGCAAAAATTGGCGAAAATTAGATATTATTTCGAATCTTTGAATCTCATACTCTTCGAAACTTATTTGTGTGTTTTTTGCTTGAATTTGTTGAATTTGAAGAAACAGAAGTTGAATTGGAGTAGTTCGATGTTCAATTTCGGTGTTTTGAAGTTCAATATTAGGTATTTTTTTTAGAATTTTGTTTGCTTTTGTTCCAATTTCGTTTGATTTACTTTTAATTTCTGGTTAAATTTGTTGTAATTTATTTTAAAATTGATTAGAAGATAATTAGAAGTCGGATCAAAGGTTTATTTATTATTTTTTTACGAATTTTGCCATAAATTTAGATCTGTTTTTTTTAAAAAAAAATTCGGTATAAATTTATATCAGATTTTTTTTTTTAATGTATACAGGTGAAAATTTGAGTAAATTTGGTTCTATTGGTACTAATTTCGAGTAATTTTAGTTAATTTTTGAGTAATTGTTGCTAATAGTTAAAAGAAATCAAATAAAAGTTGATATAAAATAATTAAAAGTCAACAAAATAAAATCATGAATTTAGAGTAGTTTCCTTTGAGTAATTTTAGTGGTTTATTTTTACAAGTAGATAGAAATTGGCTAAAAGTAAGTTTAAATTTATTAAAAGTTAATGAATTATTATATGATATGTAGCTATTATGGCTTGTGTAAAAATCAAGGAATTGATGTGGTTCAAATGAGGATTGGTTTTTTTTTTTCGAAATGTTGCATGTATAGAAATCATTTGTTGTTGTTAATATAGTAACAAGAGTTGATTTGAAAGTATATATATCAGGCAGTGTAAAACCATCAAGTATAAATCGAGAAAGGATGATTCATTTTTGTTTTGAATTGCATGCAGATTAGAATGACGAAAACTACAAAGAAAAATGTTGCAAAAAAACCTCAAAAGGAATCTCTTGCAGCAAAGAAAGCTCCTGCAGGGAAAAAAGCTGCTCCTGCAGCACTGAAGATAACTCCAAAGAAACCTACAAATTCAAAGCAATCTCCAAATAAAGGTATATTATCTTGAAGTAAAAGATTCATTTTATAAACTATATAGAAACAGTTATAAAGTAAACCATTTGCCTTTATAAGTCTATGATATCAATATAAATATTATGATGCATACTACTACATGATTGATCATAAAAGTAAATGAAAAGTTTAATAAAGTAAATAAAAATGCTTACAAAGTAAATATATATGTTTTTAAAGTTATTTAACATGTTTTATATGTATATACTCCTTGTATTAACATAAACTCATTGTTAAACTTAACTGTAGTAGGTGCTACACTTCAAAGGATTTCAAAAAAGCAAATACTGCTAAAGAGAAGGCTTGAGGAACTAGAACCTTCAGAAGGTTTATAAAAGTTTATTGTATTAGGATCTAAAGTTAAATTGATATGTTGTGAATTAGCTAGGTTGTTTGTTCTTGTATATTTTAATTTTAAAAGTAAATGTTTTAATATCTTCTAGTTTAATAAATTATAGGAACCAAAAAAAGAACAAAAGCTGAAGTTAAAAATAGCAATTATGAACCAGAAGAAGATAAGAATGAAGAATCTGATGGATCATCAAAAGAAGACAAAAAATACAAAAGCTCATTTAAAGAAGAAAATGAAGTTTAACAGTTCATACAAGAAGTTATAGAGGTTAAAGAAGGAAGTGACGATGATGATGGTAATCTGGACATCAAGAAAACACATTGCAGACCAAATGCAGTATTTGATATGATCAAGGATTTCAGTGAGAGACAGAGATTAGATGTCATAAGTGTTGGATTTGGAGGCTTGCTTGAACTAAAACTGATAAAAGTTTCAACAAAGATGCTTCCATGGCTTTGTCATCATTTCAATGAAAACAGTTGTATGCTCAAGATTGACATGATGAAGGAGTTCTCTATAAGTTCCTATGATGTTCAAGATGTTTTCATGCTTCCAAATGTAATAGAGAACAAGTTGACTTATTAGTTAAGGAAGCAACCTATAGCAAACATGGTGATTCAAAAGGAATGGAAGAAGAAGCTAGAAATTCCAAATAACGAGGACATCTTTGTGAATAATTTGGAGAAAAAAATAAAGAGTCTAAATGAAGGAGAGGATGATTTAAAAGGTTCTTTGTGATGTATGTTTGTAGCATATTCTCGGCCCCTGTTGCAAATAGAGTGATAGATTACAAGATAATCAACTATGCAGACAATGTAAAAGAAATATGTAACCTGGATTGGTGTGGTTATGTACTCAATAACTTGTTCAAAGCAGTGGGGAGCTTCAAGAAAAACAAGCATAAGGAATCAAGAACAGGAATCAGTGGGTGTGTCCTGATTCTTCAGATTGTATACTTTCATCACCTTTCATTTAGAGGGCAGCTTGAACCAACAACATTGCCCTTGATCAAACATTGGACAGATGAGAAAGTAAAAAAAAGAATTGCAAGTGAAGCAAAAGCATCATTTGGTCAAGGAGAAATCCAGAAAGATGTGTATCCAATTTGTAGAAAAGAAGGTCAACAATCATACTTAGGTGATGTTATTGAGACTGCATATAGGAATTTTGCTGACTAAGAGAGAAGATTAGTCTCTTTCAACCTTCCAGATGGTGTTATAACAGACAATGAGATACATGAGGCTGCACATGACGTGAGTATTTTTTCTAGCTCCAACTTGTATTATTCTAGCTTGCAAAGATTTCTTGTATATTGACTTGTTAGGTTTTTCTGTATTAACTTTGGTATGTATTTTGCTTTTCTTTGGCTGCTTCTGCTCTGCCTCCTGCTGCTACTATGCTATTTTGCTAGAACATTGCTGCTTGCTATGTGTTTGTAAGGCTTTAAGTAAAATAGCTTATAAGATTGTTTAAGTGATAACCTTAAAAAGAATAGTATAACTAGTAGCTTGCTTGTAGGAATTAGAATTAGTTAATGATAAACCCAAATTTACCATGGAGATTGGTCACAATTTCATGTGTTGTATTTATTTGTTCTGCTTCTAGTAGTAATAATGTTTAGTAAATGCTAAACAAAAAGTAAATAAAATACACTGCAAAGTAAATAAATGAACTTTAAAAGTAAACAATATTATTTATCAAGAGTATTGTAATAATATTTTTTTGTTATTTATCTGAAGGAAGTTGAAGAAGATCTGCTTTTTTTTGGCTAGAGATTCAACACTCTTTTCAATGTTAGATGCCGAGCGTATAAACTGCATAAAAGACAGGAATAAAAAGCAAAAAGCGAATTTGTCTGCATCGGATTCTCAACTATTTTCTGAAACACAAAAGCTGATAGAAGACCCTAAAGTGCAAAGGGCTATTGGTGAAATAGTGAAGATTTACGATGATTTGAGAGATGTATCTAATGTGTTTCTATCAACATAGGAGGAGCAGCATAAAAATCCTGAAACTAATCCAGATTATGATGGAGATAATCAAGATGGTGCAGATGCTACTTCAAATTTTATACATGACGATATTAATCTGGATGATGAAAATGAAGAATCTGAAAAAGAGGAGGAAAAGGAAGAGGAAAAAAATGAAGAGGAGAAGGATGAAAACAAAGAAGAGAAGGAAGAAAACAAAGAGGAGAAAGAGGAAGATGAGAAGGAGAAAGAGAAGGATGAAAAGCAACAAGAGAAGGAAGCTGAAGTTAGTGTAGGAGTTGAAGCAAATACTGCAAACCAGCCAGTTGATGGTGATGATATTGATGAAGAACCAAATGAAGACCTCAATAATATAGTAAGCTCGGTCACTGAGAGTATCCTAAAGGATATTGTTGTTCAAGAGAAGCAGCCAAATGTTACAAAGAAAGCAACAGAAAAAACAATTGAAAATAAGTTATTAACAAAGAAAGTAAATATTGTCTAAAAGTAAATACAAATCAATTCAAAGTAGATAGTGTATGATTTATTTGAAACTACATCTGCTGTTTTATTTCAGGTGATGGTGATAAACAACCTGTTGTAGAAGAAACCATTGTGCTTAAGAACATTCACCAAGAGATAGCTTCAAAGATAAACATCAATGTAGATTTGGAGAAAAAGATGTTGAAGTTAATTTCATTTCAAAGTCGATGAGAAGCAACAGATCAAGAATGAATGAAATGCCAGAGTTGTATCAAGTAGTGGTTGATTACTGCTTTGTCAAGTACAGTGCATTCAAACAGTAAGTTATGAAATTTTTTTAATTTTAAAAATATTCTATCTACTTAGTTAATATTTAATTTACTTTAAATAATATTTTATTTACTTTATAAACACTTAAATGTGCACAGTGAAGAGCTTGTGAAATATGAAGCTCCTCTCATGATAACAAGAGATGACACAGTATCCCTAGCTCCAACTGCCCCCCCTCAAATGATAAAATCCAATATAGTTCAATGTTGGTCATTTCTTATGAATGATTCACGATTGAAAGAAGATCCATCATGCTTTTTCTTTGGCATTGACCATAATGTAAGCGTTAAATTAAATGTTTAGCTAAATACATAATTAAATGTATATGATCTAATTAAGTAACATGTTTTATGTCCTCATTAATACACAGAGACCTCTAGAGCTGTCTCTCATGTCACAAGATCCTTTCCAGCTAACTCCAAAAACAGCTGAAAAAGAAAAACCATCTCCTTCAACACACGCGACAGAATTGAATCAAGCATGGTATTATTGGATGTGCCTCTGTGATGCAAAGGAGAAAATTATGACAGCTCAGTTGGTATGTTATATTATTCATGTCAATTAAACTACATTGTAGGGCATTATGATTTTGAATTTGTAGACTAATAAGTGTAATTTTAATGACAGATCTTTGTTCCAATCTGTCTGAGTAACCACTATAGTTTGGTAGTGGTTAACTTGTTGAAAGAGACCATTCAATACTTGGATAACAAGGAGTATGAAGACAGACATAGGCCTTTCTACAAAATTCTTGCATCTCTTGTGGTAAGATTTTTTAATTTCTCAAAAGTAAATTATTATCAATACAAAGTAAATGACATTACTATTAAAGTAAATAAGTTTGTATTAAAAGTATACATTATTATGCCTGTAAAAAGAATAAGATAAAATATAAAGTAAATGATGTTCTCATTAAAGTAGTACATATGTTATTTAAAGTAAATTGTATTGTAAATTTGTTTTGCTTATATATTGCTTTACAAATGTTATAGGTGGAGGAAATGTCAAACTTGCTGAAGAGAATTAATCATGAAAAAGCTGATGAAATACTAGATTATGAGTTTGATGAAGTTCAGTTCAAGTGGAAAACACCAAAATATACTCTTGATTGTGGTGTTTTTACAATGATGCATATGTTGTGTTTTACTGGAGACCCTTTGATTCTGACCTTGATTTAGCAAATAGGAGAAAGGTGTATCGTGCAGAAATCCGTGCTGCACTTGCTTTGGCAGAGATAAACACTAAAAGAAAAAGTCTTGTGGAAAAAGTTTCAAGGTTCAGAGTAGTTAGAAAACTTGAGCAGGAGAAAGAGGTGAAAGATATGATATATGTTTCTGATTTCTTAAAAACACACAAGGAAGTAATGGAAAACATGAGCTTGAAAATGTAACCAAGTGAATGACTACTTAGCAATCAATGATGATGAAAACTTTACAAACAAGAGGTATGTGTTATACTTGCAAATAAACTAATACTCCTGTTGCATTATATATTAAATTGTTTGGCATAAATTTAATTTAAAATTTAATTTAACATTACAGCGAAGTAGTAGGTTGGTTTGGAGAATTAATTGAAATAATAAGGGAAGATTGTAACACTTTGCTCAATGAATAGAAAGCTTCAACTAATCTGATCACTGCTTGTTCAAACCACCTCAATAACAATAAAAGGCAAAAAGAGAGGTATGAAATGACTTGGTCAAATTCTTCTTTGGACTTGACTTCATGGTATTACTTTTATAATATAAAACTATGCATTGTATACATATGTGAAATAAACTTGCGAATTTTTTCGCAGGATTCTTTAACTATGTGTTTGAATGTACATGAGAAAAAGGGAGTAACAAGTCTACAAAAACTATGGATTGATTGGACAAAATCACAATCATTGGACTTGAATGCAGCTGAATATGTAAGATATAGAATTAATATTAAAAGTAGAAAAATATATGTTTAAAGTAATAAAAAAGTGTGTAAATATTTTTTTATGTGCAGGTATTTATACCTCTGAAGCAGGAAGATCATTATTTTCTTGCTGTCATAAACTTAAAAAATGAAACAATTGATCATTTGGGCAGCACTTTATACGAGAGCACTGATGAATATGAGCCTATACAGAGTTTTATCTTAGATACGGTAAAGCATAAATAGATTAACAAAGTGTCATTAAATTCATTTTTCAATGTATCATATTACATTTATATTCATTCCATTGCAGACCATACAAATGCAAAAGTTGTTTAAAAAAAGAAAGTATCCAAAGGCAAATGATATGTTGTCCTACAAGCTGAGAATAATTGAACTTCCATTCCAAAAAGAAAGACAAGAAAATTAATCAGGAAGCTATCTAATGATGCACATGAAGGTGTATGATGGTGTTATTGGGATAGGATTGGGAACCATATAAGAGTTAAGTTACCATACTTATTTCTTAAGTCCTTAAATTCTTTAAGTTATATGAATTACTTAGAGCATAATTTATTAAAACTAAGGTTAATCTTTTGGTTTTTACAGGAATTTCAAAGATTGACACACCATCATATAAAAACAGTATTTGACCTACTTCTCAATTATACCAATCAAATGCAAGAGAAACTGCTGACAAATGTTAAGGATTGGGAAGAGAAGAAAGTACAAAAAGCATGTGAAGAATTGTAAATGTTTTTAATAGATTTGAATATATCATAGGCATTAGAGTATTTTAAGTTGTATAGTATTAATCCAAAACATTAGTTTGAAGGTTTAAGTAGTATGTTTGTATGAAGAATACATATTATATCTCTGAGTTGAAGTAGTAGAGTTATTCTGTGTGAAAAATGGTGCTAGATATAAAAGTAGAAGAAATAAATCAAAAGGTAAATGAAAATAATGTTAAAGTAACAGGAATTCAGTAAAAATTAAAAGAAAAAAGTTTAGAAAATGTAGTCTTTCTAAAATATGGTGTTCGATTTTTAAAAGTTAAGAAAAATACTGTTAAAGTAAAAGAAATTATTCCGAAAGTAAATGAAATTATCATTAAAGTATAAGGAACAAATTTAAGAGAAAAAAAGTTCAAAAAATAGTCAAAAATATGATGTTCGATTTAAAAGTAAAGGGAATTAGTGTTAAAGTAAAAGACATGAAGTTAAAAGTAAATGAAAAAAGTTCAAAAAAAAAAAGTCTTTATGAGGTGGTTGTGGAGGTGGAGGTGGTTGTAGTGGTGGTAGTTCAATGCTTATTCACACTAAAAAAAAGTACAAATTTTCCGAAAGATTGTTGGTTGGAAGGTCGTGCACCATATTATTGAAACTATTGGCCGTGTGATAGTGTTAGTGGCCAAACGATGGTTGTGCGGTGGTAGAAGGTGGTGTAGGTGGTTGTGCAATGGAGATAAGGGAGAGAAAAAAGAATGTTTTGGTTATAAAAGAGCCCCGTATATTAACAAGTTTTGTTACCATGGGACCATGGGGGAGTATTAAAAAATAATGTTATAAATGTGGTCCCATGCTATTTTTAGAAATGTGTCAAGTATTTTGGGACGGATGAAAATGGAAATCGTGCCAAGTATTCTAGGACAAGGGGAGTAATATAGGATATTATCTTCAATTTTGTAAATAAGAAGGACATTACATGATAATACAACTCATATGATATATAATTCATTGTGAAAGGCAGGAAAAAACAATATCATAAAGTAAATGAAATATTTCATAAAGTTAAAGTATAATAGGTAAAAGTGAATAAACTGAACTTTATTTCCGCAGTACAATTACTTAGAGTAAATGTAAAAATATTACAATAAAAAAAAACACATTAATATTTCTTCAGTATATCTTGATCTCGATCTTCCAAAACATCTTTAAATTTCCAAGTATTATAATAGCTGCACAAAAATAAACATCAGAAAATCAGTGAAAAATTAAAATAAATAAATTACAATGTAAAGTAAATAAATTTCAACTTAAAGTAAATGAGAAAAGTAGAAAGGTAAAATACTTAAAAAGAAAGTACAAGTATAATAACACCTGCACAAAAATAAAAAGTAAATCAAGTTAAATGTTAAAGTAAATAAATAACAGATTAAAGTAAATGGAACACATGTAAAAGTAAAATACCTGAAGAACTACTTGTTTGGACAGTTTCTACTGTCATGTGAAACACCAGATTGCCCACAAGCTCTACAGGTTCTGCCCCTTTTTGGATTTTTCTTCAGAAGCTATTTCTTTTGCACTCTTCAACCGCTTTGAACTTCTGGCAGAACCATTATTAAGACACCGATTTGGAGGCAAGATGTTTACATCTACTACATTTGACCCAAATAAAACCTGAATATCAGCATCTTTCACCTCTTTTGAACTAGTTTCATTTTCAGGATTATTCTTTGTCAGCATCTGCTCCTCAAATGAAGATAATGTCCTAATAAGCTCAGATAAATCATCCTCAGATTGCTCAGATAAACTCACACAACTAAAAATCTTGGACCACACATCACTCACCAATTGCTTCTTCTTATCATACTTAGAAGCATCATCCAGAACAACATTTATGGCTAAAGCTTTCTTGAGAATGTCTTTTCTCCAATGATTCATGATATAAAGATCAGGAATTTCACGTATAGACTTGTCTTTCATAATAAACAGAATGTGTCTACATAAGATGCCTTGACTCTCAAACATTTTACAAGTACAACTGCACTCATATGTGGCCAAGTCAAAATTTACATTAAAGTTTTTCCTTTTATCATGATCAACAATCACAGAAAACTCCACACCATCTCCATACAGAGAACTACAACTTTCAACACCGCATGACAAACAGGCTGCCTGGCATTCTTCATGAAAATCATAAAAGATGGCACGACTGTAAACAACAGCAGCGTGCTTTTCCAAGTGTAAATAAGTAAGCAATTGAGGCTCAGATTTA